ATGCTTGATGTTGTCAGCTTCAAGGATGCTCAGATATTTGTAACTATCTTCTTGATCCAGACTCATGACATTATTTCTGTAGAGCATCTTGATACCACCAATGTTCATGAGTTTATCCCCCGTCGATGATAAGGGTGGCATTTTTATCCAAACTCTATGGCAGTATCTTGGCTGTATAGCTGGACAGTGTTGAACAGTGATTCTATTTCAGGTGGTGTTTTTCTATACAACTTCAGATCATTCATGTAAAGGAGGTGGGGTAGCCTGACAGATATAATAATAGCAATAGCAATTAAACTTATATACCACTTCACAATGCTTTCCAGCCCCCTCTAAGCTGTTTACAGAGTCAGCATATTGGCCCCAACAATCTGGGTCCTCATTTTACCGACTTCAGAAGGATGGAAGGCTGAGTCAGCCTTGAGCCTGGTGAGATTCGATCTGCCAAACTGCTGGCAGCCGGTGATCAGCAGAAATAGCCTGCAGTACTGCACTCTAACCACTGCGCCACCGCAGCTCATTATATATTATATATTTAATTATATATTAGATATTTTAGATATATTAGATATATATTAGATATATTAGATATTTGATAGCCATATTATTATTATACACACAGCAATGTGAAATCACAACTGCCAGTTCTTTAGCTATTGTTGGACCTACTTAGTTATCATTTCCTGGTGCAAAGGAATTGAGGGATAGAATAAGACCCACCACATCATCCGGACCACCTGCAGCCTCCAAATATTTCTTAAACTACGGTTCCCAGGAGCCCCAGCGAGCCTGGCCAGTGGCAAACAACACAGGGAGTTATAAGAGTTTGAGCGGCTTTGCCCACCCAAGTAAGCAGGACCCCCGCCCACTGAGGCAAGTCACTTCAAAGCCTTAGGTCCTTCCCAGTGGTGAAATCCAAATTTTTTTTACTACCGATTCTGTGGGGGTGGTGTGGCTTGGTGGGCGTGGCATGGCTTGGTGGGCGTGGCAGGGGAAGATACTGCAAAATCTTCATTCCCACCCTACTCCAGGGGAAAGATATTGCAAAATCTTCATTCCCACCCTACTCCAGGGGAAAGATATTGCAAAATCTCCATTCCCACCCCACTCGGGCCAGCCAGAGGTGTTATTTGTCGATTCTCCGAACTACTCAAAATTTCCGCTACCGGTTCTCCAGAACCTGTCAGAACCTGCTGGATTTCACCCCTGGTCCTTCCCGCTCTCCTCTAAGAACTCCAGGGACACCCCACCCACCCAAAAAAATCCGGGGAAACTTGCAGAGGGGCAAGTTATTTCTCCTGCTTAACTCGGCTTTCCGTCGAGCCTTAATTCTTCTTTGGGGCTACCGCCAGGCAGACACTCTTCAGCCAGGAACCTCTTCCATCTGCTTGCGGCAGCGTCCTCGGGAGCCAATCAAAGCCGCTCTTCGCGCCGCTCTTCCTTAAGTTCAGCCGTCGGAGCCTCTTAGAAAAGTCCGGGATGCCGCGCTTGGGCGGACTGTGGCAAGAGCCCCGCGGAATCCAGCAGGCTCGACGCGGAGAGCATTTGCAGTCCTGGATGGTGCGCTTCTCCTCTCGTTGCGCTCGCAAGCCTAACTCTGGCGATCGCGGCGGCTGCAGTAGCAAAGCAGGGAGGCACCAGAAAGAAGCGGGGAAAGCGAGCGGGTCCTGAACTGTTCCAAGGGGAGGGCAGGTTTCCCGTCTCTTACTTTGGGCAGGCGGCTGCCTTAGCGGTGGGACTACTGGACGCCCCGTCCACCTCTTCCGCTAAGAAGAGATTGAGGGTCCCGGTTGTCGAAGGGGGAAGGGGCTGCGGGCCTCGGCCCCCCTCCTGCCCCGATTTCAGAGGCGTTGCTGAAACTGAGCCTCTCGCAGCCGCACGTTGCTCGGAAGCAGGGCTGCTCCACCGTGGAGCTAACCCTCTGCTGCCCCTCCCGTATGGCTGCGGAGCCCCTGCCTTCCGAGGCTTCCTGGGGCAACTGGATGGACGAGCCCACCGTAGCCTGGCAGAATGATCCCATCAGCCCCAAGCCCAAGAAAGCCTTCCAGCTCGGGACGCAGTTCTGGATCTTTAACCACAGCGGAGAGGAGACCTCGCCCCCGTTTCTGACCGATGCTTGGCTGGTGCCGCTCTTTTACGCCCTCATCATGTTGCTGGGTCTGGTGGGGAACGGCCTGGTCATCTATGTCATCAGCAAACATCGCCAGATGCGCACAGCCACAAACTTCTACATTGGTGAGTGAGTCCCGGGTCCCCGCTCAGTTAGTAGCAGAACTCATTTGGAACCCAGCTGGCTGCAAGGCGGCAGAGTCAGCTAACATACTTTTCTTCGGCATATTGTCAAATGAGGGGCAAAAAAGATTCTTGTAGCACTTTTTTTTTTTTTTAATTTGATTTATATGCCGCCCTTCTCCGGAGACTCAGGGCAGCTTACAGTGCGTTCAGCAATAGCCTTCATACTTTTGTATATTTATACAAAGTCAGCTTATTGCCCCCATAAACTGGGTCCTCATTTCACCTACCTTAGAAAGGATGGAAGGCTGAGTCAACCTTGAGCCTTGGAGAGATTCGAACCAGCAGTAAATTGCAGGCAGCTGTGTTAATAACAGGGTGCTTTAAACCACTGTAGTACCAAGGCTCTTAACTTCTGTTGGATGTTCTGCCTTAGCTGGAATCTAGAACCTGACAGGGTTTTACAGCTAGGTTCTCGCTCTATCCAGTCAACTTCCATCAATACCATTTAAACGAACATTTAAAATCATGCAAGTTCCCACTGATAACACCAGTTGCTTGTAACATTACAATCAACTGTGTACAGTGAAGTTGGCATTTCTAAGGCATTAAATTTGTTTGTAATATTTGAAATGGGAGTTATATTGCTCGCCCCTTGCTCTGAGCTGTAAATAAAGTGTTTTTAAACATTAGCTTTGATTACATTTAGTGATTTCACAGACAAATGGTTCAAATACTTCCTTTAAAAAAAACACACACACTCAATAATCCTTACTGCAATTTCCAGATTACACTGATGTGTTGCTCTTTAAATTCTTCAGCAGTTGCCAGGTAAAAATCCAGAGTGTGTTGTAACTTTAAAGGAATAATATATATAGGAATATACTGGTTTACATTAATTTCACATGTGTGTGTGTGTGTGGTGTGTGTGTGTGTGTGTGTGTGTGTATGAAATTCATGTAAACCAGTATATTCCTCAATGCATTTTTCAAGTGTTTTCAGTTTGTGGGTGCTACAACGCTGGAGGTTTTTAAGAAAAGATTGGGCAGCCATTTGTCCAGAATAGTATAGGGTCCCCTGCTTGGGCAGGGGGTTGGAGTAGAAGACCTCCGAGTACCTGTCCAACTCTGTTATTCTGTATTCTGAATATATTAAGATAGTGAACATTACAAAGCTATTTACAATACGTTCAGAGAAACTAGGTTAAAAAATTCTTATCCCCAAGCTCTGACCCATTTTCATATGGCACACCTAATCCATAAGATATTGGGAAACTTGAGGCCTTCCAGGGTGGCTGTGCTACAACTCCCAGCTTTCATCATCGTTAGCCACAGTGGCTGGGGCTGATGGGAATAGAAATTCAATGTTTCAGAGAGCCATAAGTTCCTCACCCTTGGCTTAGTCTATCATAGCTCACAAAGCTGGGCAACCATATGCATCAGAAGAGGCGAGGCAATCTGTATCGTATCCCTAGTTGATCTGGCATTATTATGCATGCCATTCTATGTAAATATTTTCACATTATGAAAAAGGTATGCACACTTAGTCTAGACAAACGCTGTATGCTTCCTCTTTCAGAGTTAATCTCAGTCCACTTTCTATCCCTATTAGAACCTTAGTACACATAATTTGCCCCTTTTGTGTAACCATTCTCTAAAATTAGCACTTGAATTCGGCTGATTTTCATCAAACATCCTCAGTATTTTGGGTTCTTCATCCATAGCTCTTAAAGTATAATCCATTAGTCCATCAGTGGGTAAAAAATTACAATTGCAAAGGTTGCTGTCCTATTGCTGTTCGCTCTTGGAAGCTGCTAAGTGTTTCTGCCTTCATTTACTGTGAAAAGGGGAACTTAAGGAACAGGACTGACTGAATCACCCCAATTTTGCTTCTTCCACTCTGAATAAATATTTCAGCTAGTAGGAAATGAAACCAGTTATTCTGGGTTGAGGGCTGAATCTGGGAATCAGGTGAGCTTTAAGAGGTTTAGTTGTCTGTCAAAAGTCACGACAGATTTTTTCATGAACTGTGGCAGCCAACTGTAGGACGAGAAGAAATGGCAAGAGAAAATCAAAGAGCGGATTACATTCTTCTCCTGCCATTTGTCCCAGTTTGGGGATCAGGTGGCAGGGGAAGGTGGGATCTGATTCTTAACCCACTTAGGTCTCCAGCCCCAGAGATCAGCTTTGTGAGATAAGTGATCTGGCAGGTCAAGAACCATTTCCTTCTTCTTCTCCTCCCATCCTCTCAGATTGGGTAATCCATACTCCAAAGCAGGTGACTGGGTAAGGAGACAAATGCCACAAAGCTGCAGAAAAAGAACACTCTTTCTATTCTCCTTCTCCTTCCAATCCCTTGGGCACTGACTACTTAAGCTGATCCAAATGGGGGTTTGGCTGGAAAGATTTGAACTTTCTCATTGCTCAAAGCTGATATCCCAGAAGGACTATACCAATTGACTGGAGGGGATGGAATGGTATTTCCCATATCAACTGGTAGTCTACAGATGCAGTGCTGATCCCACCCACTTGGGGTCCCCTGGATCAAATCATCAACCAAACCATTGGCGAAGCACATCTTGTCTCACTCAGAGGAAAAACTGCCATGACTTGCTACGTGCTTAAAGGGGAAAAGCAACTATCTTAACCCCAGAACTTCTAAAATGACTTTAAACCGCCTTAGGCACGTGTTGATAAGAAGATAAAAATAAAATGCAAGAAATAGACAAAGATAAATAAATGTTAAAAGCAAACTTTCTAGACTAGATATTCAGCAAGAATACTTTAATGAGATGTCCCTTTCTTCTGGAATATTAAGGCACTGATGACTCCAAAATGTGAGCTGAAGTACCGCGTTTCAAAATCTGGTGGAGAACATGAAACAACAGCGATAAAAGTCAGGAGGAGGGACGTATGCAGTGGTGGTATTCAGCCGGTTCAGATCGGTTTGGGCGAATGGGTAGTGGCAACCTGTGGGTGGGTCTGCCCACCTGCCCCGGTGCTATGCCATCCTATTTAGCCACATTTTCTAAGCTGTGCACATGTATGCAAGCCTCCCGTGCAAGCAAAGCACAAGCGTGGAGGGCGCGTGCTCACATTTTTGGTGCGCGGCGAACCGGTGATAAAATTATGTGAAACCCACCTCTGGATATATGGATACATGGGGGATCTCTAGAGCACTTTTTCTCTTGAGTCCCAGACAAAGAGGAGTCCTTTGTGTTAGACAGAACTTTAAGACTTGAATCAGGGAAGGAGGTTGACATTACTTGTCTCAGCTAACCTTATGCCAAAGCTGATCTCAACTTTGTGTCTTTCACAGCAAATTTGGCTACCACTGACATCATATTCTTAGTGTGCTGTGTTCCTTTCACTGCCACTCTCTATCCCTTACCCAGCTGGGTGTTTGGTGACTTTATGTGCAAATTTGTCAACTATTTACAGCAGGTGAGCTTGAATTATCTATATTATCATTTTATTATCTACCGTATCTGTAATTTTATTTTAATCCCCACAGGTACAATTGATGATATGAAGTGCCAAGATCATAGCTGTATGCTAGGACAGGCAACCCACAGGCTGTTTACATTTTCCCAACACCCTTCCTAAGCTATTATAGATCTGCGGGGACTATAAATGATTCACAGTGAATGCAAATAGCACTGTTCTCGCTTTAAAAAGGGGAAGGAGGTGCACAAATAGCTGAAGGATGAATTTAGATTTCGTTGTCTTTACCACATGCTTTGTCTTCTCATCAGGTGACTGTCCAGGCCACCTGCATTACTCTGATGGCTATGAGTGTGGACCGCTGCTATGCTACATTGTACCCACTGCAGTCATTGCGTTATCGAACCCCCCAGATAGCCATGTCCATCAGCTTTGCTATTTGGATTGGTAAGTGGGGGATCTGCAAAATCTATGAGTTCTTATGCCTCTGGAAAAAGAAGAGGCTATGTAGGTTGAGGTGGAAGGGAGACCAAACCCATGTCTGACACATCCAAACTTTCCTCCTTGGGATTAACCTGATAATCTCTGGTGTTGCTTATTTAATTAAGAAGTGAGGTCAGAAGGAAAGGGAATGTAAAAAGTGTTACTATTACTTTGAAATATACATGTATTTAAAATAAGCAGCATGCATAAAAATCAAGGCGACTCAAACATCCTAACTTTGAAGCCATTATTTCAGTTCAAACCACTAATCTTCCAGTCTCATTGCAAGTTGGACCGCATATAAGTTTAATAAATAATCGTAATTTGACATCAGAATCTAGGATTCTGACCTATCCATTCAATTTCCTGTAAACAAGCGGTTTCCAAGCCTTTCAGTTCATCAACCCCTTCATGAAGTTTCAGATTTTATTTATCAATCCCCAAACTTTTACTATATGAAAATAATTTAATAAATATTACTTTAACTTACTTACACAAAGTACTATGTGTAAACTTAAAATAATCTTTGATAACAACAATTATCAAAAGATAACAATTATCTTTAGATTGTTTAAACGTCAAGTGGTTGACTGTCATGGCAAAGCTAAACATTCTAAATGATGGATTTTTGAATGTGGTCATATTTCAGTTTCCTCCCTTTTCATCCTTCGGTCTCTGGGCTAGGTTTATAAATGCTTTGAACAACACTTTCAAAAATATTCTCCCTTACCTCTATTATATATTATATGAGAACCAGTGTGGTGTAGTGGTTAAGGCACCAGGCTAAGAACTGGGTGATTATGAGTTCTAGGCCTACTTAGCCAGCAGGGTAACCTCTAGCCAGTCACTTTCTCTGAACCCTAGGAAGAATCCAATAACAAACTATTTTTTAAATCTTGCTAAGAAAACTGCAGGGATTAGTTTTTATCTCTATTAGTAAATCAGCAACCATACTCATCCACATATCCATGCATCCATGCACCCATGCGTCTGTCCATTCATCCATCCGTCCGTCCGTCCCTCTGTCCATCCATCCATCCATCCCAGCCACTGTTCTCCTTTCCAAGAAATAGGATCATTATCCTAGTTTTGCTCAAGTCTCTATAGAGCTTGTTTTCTAAATCCAAGGATTTAAAGTTCTCATCCAAGGATTGTGAGTTCTGTCTCTATGACCTCCAGGTTCCTTCATTCTCTCCTTGCCCATGGCTATGTATCATCGTACTGAAAATGGCTACTGGTATGGTTTACGTACCTACTGCATTGAAGCTTTCACAAGCAAGAGCCAGGAGCGCAGTTTTATCCTCTACACTTTCCTGGGTGTTTATCTATTGCCTCTTCTCACTATTTGCTTCTGCTACACCGTCATGCTCAAGCGCATTGGACGTCCTGTGGTTGAACCAGTAGACCATGATTACCAGGTAAGATAGTGGAAAGAAACCGTACTTCAGTTGTTAGATTTTTCTTATAGCTCCTGCAGTCTCCTGTATGTGCAAAAACAAAGTCCCAGTTCAGGTAATTTAAACAAATGTTAAAAAGAAAAAAATCTGAAAGAAAAGTTGAAAACCTGTTCTCTCCCGTACATTGCTTAGGTGTCACCAGAATAAATTTCATGCCATTGTCAATATGTGTAATGAGTTTTGGGGAGAGTTGAAATCATTTTCGTCGCTCATGCAGCATATTTTGCTAATTAAGCTACTTTGCACATAATTAACCTTAAGGTCAACTAGGAGCCTGAGGAATCATAAACAGGTTTGTTGTGACTCATAAATGCCTAATAAATCATGCCTTCATTTATAATAACAAATTTATTAATCTTAATTAAGAATAAAATAATATTTAATCAAATATAACCTCATTGGTTAAACAACTTTGTCTAGTGTGGGCTAGTCTTTCCCTGCTGTTGTCTCCACTCTATGGAACAGCTTGCCCCAGTGGCTGGTCCACAATCTCCTGACCTTCTAAAAGAGCATTAAAACCTAACTCTACCAACTGGCCAGGGGATCTAAGTGTGTCATGCCACCCTGGGGGTGGTTGGTGGGTTGAAGGTGCTTCTACCGCCTTTTAACTCTGCAGTTGTTGATGTTTTTTTAAAAAAACTTTGGTTTAATATGGTTTTTAATTATGTTTTTAACTATGGCTTTTATATGATTTGACTGTTTTGTTTGTAAATACCCAGAGTCATGCAAGTATGATGGGCAGGATAGATATTTGATAAACAAACATATTTTTTTTCTTATTTCATTTCATTATCAATTTAAAATACCTGGCAAAACAGACATATTTTTGTATGCTCCTATATTGCTGAAAATGTGAAAGGTTCTTTGGATACAATATTTGGGTTCATCAATTCTCATTTTGTCTTCTTCAACCGTTTATATAATATCTTTCACCAAGAAATTGAATTCCTATGTGTTCTGAATTCTCAAATTCTCTATCAGTTATGGAGCACAAAAAATTAAGGTATGCTTAGTTTGTTTTATTCCCAATCATTTTTATCCAAGAAGTAAATTAAGTTAAGTTAAGTTAAGTCAGGATTCAGCAACCTGTGGCTCTGGAGCCACATGTGGCTCTTTCACCCCTCTGCTGTGGCTCCTTGTCATTCAAAATATGCATCACAATTGCCAGTGTGCGACACCAGCTGGCACGCTATTTATTGAGCTTTTCAACTCCTGGTAGGCCAACCATGGATAAATCCAAGAAAATAAAGGTTTCAGAATAAAATAGAACATTTAATTCAACTACATATGCTAGTTTTGTGGCTGCTCAAGAAATAGTCAAGCATGGGAAGGGTTTTGTGGCTCCCGGTGTTTTCTTTTCTGTGGGAAATGGATCCAAATGGCTCTTTGAGTGTTTAAAGTTGGAGACCCCTGAGTTGAGTTAAGTTAAGTTAAGTTAAATTATTCAGTTGATCTTCCCTCCCCAAAGGTCTCTACACTTGTGGGAACATTCAGGAAGAAAAAAATTGTAATGAGTAGGAAAATAGGAAAAAAGGTGAACATAAGATGATAAGTAAAGGGACTGTCAATGTAAGGATAGACAAATAATATCCCCCCCCCGCCCAATGATAGCCAGATTGATGTACTGGTTAAACGTGCTGGATTATAAACCAGGAGACCATGAATTCTAGTCCGGCTCTAGAATTGCAAAATCCAGATGGGTGGGTTTGGGTCAGTCCTAGCAAGAAGGTACTAGCAAGCCACTTCCAAAAACTTTATAAACTGCCAGAAATCTGGGCAGAGACATCCAGCATGTCCAGAGTTTCGAAACAGCTCTAAAAGGCCTGGTGAGTTCCTTGCATTTCACTGCACATTTACCTTTCTTTGGAAAATACCTCTCCAAAGATACATATTCTAAAAATTTGGGATAATTTATATTACGTATTTATACAATTTACCGGTATATGCCACCACCTCACTCTGCAGAGTGACTCTGGGCAGTTTACAATTAAAATAATAAATATTAAAATATTAAAATGACTGCCTAAAATAGCAATTGTCTTCCTCCTGAATCTGAAACCAGAAGGTCTTTTTTTCCTGCTAAACCAGGCAATTGGCCTGGCTGCTTAACTGGCACACTCTCCATAAACACTGTTCATGTGTGTGTTTCTGTTCATTTCCAGCAAGTGCAACATCTCTCTGAGCGCTCAGCTGCCATGCGAGCTAAGATTTCCAAGATGGTTGTAGTGATTGTACTTCTTTTTGCCATTTGCTGGGGTCCTATCCAGTTCTACCTGCTTTTTCAGGGCTTCTATCTCCATTTCCAGGCGAACTATGAAACCTATAAGATTAAGACATGGGCTAATTGCATGTCATATGCTAACTCTTCCCTCAACCCTATTGTTTATGCTTTCATGGGAGACAGTTTCCGCAAATCCTTCAAGAAGGCGTTCCCCTTCCTCTTCCGCCAGCGTATACGGGACAATGGCATGCAGTCAGGCTCCCATAATGCGGAGATGAAATTTGTAACTGAAGAGACCTAGCTTCTGTTGTGAGGAGAACTTGGCTGGCTTCCTTCCAGAGAAAGGATATTCCAACTGACATATTAAAAGTAAGATGGCTACTGACTCAGCCATATATGAAAGGTAATTTCTTCCATATCACCTACACAAAGCCGAATTTTCTGCATTCTAGGCTAAGTAAATTCAATAATGATAATAATTAGGGATTCCGTATTATTCATTGTGAATTTTAATTTTAAAGGCTTCAGGAATTTACACTGCTGTATTAGGTTTCAATGCTGGCAGAAGCTAGCCTACTGTTTTGTGTTTATGGTCATCTTTAGAATATAGGTCCTGTACAACCTGGATTTATCCGGTCTCTGGATGTAAAATGTAAAAATAAATAAAATTTTTGAAACTGATTTTTTTCCCCTGAGGCTTATTGAGATTCAAAGGTTTGTTTTTAAAAAATAACAGATTACAATAATAAAATAACAGATTAAGATCATTCAAAAGACATATCCCTGAACCAATGGCAGTTAAGATGTATCCCTGTTTAACCAATCCACGCAGTGTTAATATTTAATATCCATTAGTGCCCTAATGTTATTATTTTTTATTTTTAACCACTATCTGATGCAAAAAGATGATGGCCTGATTTAACCAACATGCTAACACTTGACTAGGTTCCCTAAGTAGACTGAACTCCAAGCTCCCCCATCTTAACTCAGTCTGGAACAGAGACGGGACTGATTCTTGGGTTGTAAGAGCAAACATACACCTGGCTGCCATAGGAGCATTTGCCCACATAATACCTCACTGATATTGCCTGAAATATTTGTTATATGGCCTCCTTGTAAACATGAGTCTTCTCTCTCTAAAACAGTGTTAGACGCCTGTGCTTAAAAAACAGGGAGGTCACTCTCTTTATAGTGCTCTAACCTTGGGATTTTATGCATGTGCACACATGAGGCTTACTTATAAGGAATAACCTTGATAGATTACCCCAAGACGCTTGTTACTCTGACCATATGACAAGTTTCAGGACATACCCGTCTTCCTCAAATAGCCCAACCATAGGACAAGAAGAGAAGTGTGGACCAGGAGACAGATCTCCAGCTGCATCCAAGTCCCTGGCAGTTGAGAACTGAATGGGATCCAGCTTTCCTGGGATCTACTACTGAATGCAAGAGATGTTCTTTCCAGACTGCACACTGTCTTAGGTTTTTTCCCCCCCTCCTTCCTTCTCTTACTTTTAATAGAGACCTTGGGTTGCTTCAAACAGTCTCCAGACAAGAACACAGTAATTAGCAGTGATTGCATTAAGTCAGGCAGACCTTCCAAGTGATTCTGGCCAGCTTGTCAGTGAGCAGGGACAACTTTGCACAGTGTACAACTTTGCTCAAGTTGCTGGACTTGACTTGAGCAAGTTCCTTGACAACAGTAGTTGTTGTGGAGAAGAGAAGGTTAAATAATTTCTGACTCTTCCCACACACATCAATCCACAATGTAACCATTTCTCCTTTCCACTTGTCTCGCAATGACTCATATTTTCTGATGTCAGCAGCCATCATTTGCTAGGGATACTGTGCTTTGGAACAAGCTGGTAATTCACCAGGCAGTTGTTTTTACTTTCCATCTCGTCTCCCCACTTTTTATATTTATTGTTTGAGAATTCATGTTTATGTGAATGATGGTTGAACCTTTCTTGAAGCCTAACACTTTAGATATATTCATCTACTAACATTCAATTGTTTCAGATTCCCTTCCTTTATAAAATACAAACATTTCAATCTGATGGGAATTGCTTGAGCAGTGAAAGGAGAATTTTTTTAAAAAAAACGTCCCCAGTAAGAAAAATCAGAATTCCATCCCTCCCTATTCTATTCACTAAGATTCATTTCCAACATGGTTGCTCAGGGTAAGGTAACCCCTCATTCTTGTCAGCATGATAATATACATAGAGCAGAGGTGTCAAACTCAAGGCCCGGCTGGATTCGGTCCGAGGGGTGCTTAGATCTGGCCAGCCTGGAAACAGCAAAGGATTAGCCCGCAGTGCCTCTGCCAGTGAAAACGGAGCTCGGGGTGCTCTGTTTTCGCTGGCAGAGGACTATCGAAACAAACTAAAAACAAAACAAAAGGAGAAATGTTTCCCCTTTTGCATTTGAGCATGCAAGAAGGGACAGGAAAGGAGAAAGGGAAAGAAGAAAGACAAAGAAAAAGAAGGGAAGATGGGAAGAGAGCAAGGAAGGAAAAATAAGGAAAGAGGGAAAGGAAGAAGAAAAGGATTAAGAGGTGAGGAAAAAGAAGAAAAGGAAGAGAGGGAGGGAGGGAGGGAGGGAGGAGGAAGGAGGAGGAAGGAAGGAAGGAAGGAAGGAAGGAAGGAAGGAAGGAAGGAAGGAGATTATAATGAGAGTGAGTGAAGGTCTCAGGGAAGTCCTGCCTTAGCACATGGCCACCACAGGTGCCCCCAACATGAGTCCTGTGTCACGCCCACATGGCCACATCCAGCCCAGCTATGTCCACCATGGCCACACCCCCTACCACCCCCATCACACAAGAAAGATGTATGATAGATTCACCTGGACCTTTCAACAACATATATATGCTTTTTGCTGTGTGATTGCTTACAGCTACCATAACATATATGAATTATTGTAGCTGATTAGGTAATGGCATGGGGTTTTTTTTATGTAACCTTTACCAGGCAGATCTGTCTTCCCTGGCCCTGAAGAAACATGCAACATTAATATTTATGGGCACTGTTTTTATGAAGGTAAGATCACAAAAGGGATAGTAGATGGCTCTATGAAAGAAATCTCTAGAGTTTCAGTAATGCTCTGTATTACTGAATACATTACTGTATTCAGTAATGCTCTGTACACACCAATGTGACACCAAAACATTCTTTCTTTTAATAATAATCAGCAATCTTGCTGCCTTATTCAGGAACACGGAAGCTCATTAAGTGCACACTATCAGTAAAGTGCACCATAGATAACTTTGTGAAAGGCAGAATAGAAGAAGAAAATTAAAAGGTGTCTGTATTGGCCTGATAACTGACCGGAAAAACACAGAGCATATTTCTTTATGGAAGAGTCAGCCCATCTCTAAAGATTATACTCCTACTGTGCCATTATTCTACCTACATAATTGTTTCTTCAGGGATGCATGAGTTAAAAAAAAAAAGATTTGTGGATATTCACAAAAGGGCATACAAAACAAACCACACTATAAGGAGAAAAGAAATTGGAGATTTTCTACCTGCAAATCTGCCTTACTCCCCCAAAGTCAAAGATGAAAATAGGAAAAACTCTTCTCCAACCCACTAAACCTTCGCTAAATAGATGATTTAAAAAAAAAAAGCAAAAAAGAGAATAATTCACATGTTTTAGCTCTGACTCTCTGCTGGTTTACTATGCAATTCTCACAACAGCCCTATGAAGTAGGTTAAGCTGAGAGATCGATGCTTTCCTACTAGACCACATTGGCTACCTGGTTGTTTTGAAGACATCATATGTCTTTCTTTCATTCAGTATCTTCTACTGGAACCACTTGGAATAATTGTTCAGGACAGGAGCACTAATATGTGGAGCTATTACAAATATAAGAGGAGAAAACCCGACAAATATACTTAAAATCAACATTTTCTTCCTTTCCCCCAGTTTCAATACATTTAACATGAACCTTGCTATGAATTGTAGACCTTCTGCTGAAGCCTTTCCTCTTTCCACTTAATGAGCCCTGAAATGGCATTTTCACTGATTTCACAGTAGTTCGCCTTTCATTAAATTGTCCACCTCTATCAATCTATCAGTAGCAGGACATGAGCTGCCATTAGCCAATATGACTGCTAGATTCCACAGTTTCTAAGGCAACCAACAGAGGACAAAGACCAAGAATATGGCCTATCATTTCAGGTGACCAGGAAACTAGGACAGGAAACCCAATGAAACTAAAATGCAAAATTGACCATTACTGTACTGAAACTTATCATGAATATGCTTTCCTACAGGAAGAAACCCCATGTTTTCACCTCATTATTTCAGAAATGATCATTTTGTTAGTGTCACAATCCAATTGGCATTCTTGAAACCACTGAAATATTCCAATCATTAGGGCAGGGGTCTTCAAACTTGGCAACCTGAAGACCTGTGGACTTAAATTCTGAGAATTCCCAACCAGCATGGCTAGCAAGGAATTATGGGAGTTGAAGTCCACAAGTCTTAAAGTTGCCAAGGTTGGCCTGATTGAGAGAACTGAAGGCACAAATGTATCCATAGAGATGAAAACCAAGTGGAAAATACCTCTATGGAGACAGGAAAGGGTGGAGTGAGTTGAGGCAGTGGGCCATGGCCAATAGCATTTAGTAGGACACCAAACTTCCGTAGCAGGAGCAACACTGCTGAAAGCAAACAGGGAAGTGCAATGGGTTAAAGTTGGAATGTTAACTGGTAGAAAATGTCCTGTATTTCCATGATTTGAGTAACCCATCTCATCCCCATCATCAAATGATTCCTCCCTCCCTCCCTTTCTCTTTCATTTATTTCAGTTCCTGTCCTTTTCCTTTATTTGCTGTTTTGGACCACTTCTTCAAAATCATTTCTGAATCAGGTAAGAGTACTACCAGCAATTCATGGATTCATAACTCACAGTAAATCCACAACAATGTCCACTAATTCCAATTAGCCTAAAGGATCAGCTTTTATTTGAAACAGCCAGAGAACATATTAGCAACCCCATAACAAAGTTAAGTAACCACAGTACACTGGGAGTACAATATACAGTAGACTAACAGCCTAAGAATTCAGATATTTCATAGCAAGAGCTCTTGTTCATGCAAAAACATAAGAATCTGCTCACCTTCTGAATGTCTAAAGCTTTCTCTAAAGATTTACTATTGACTGTTTCCCTATGACTATCATTAAGTGTTGTACCTTATGATTCTTGACGAATGTATCTTTTCTTTTATGTACACTGAGAGCATATGCACCAAAGACAAATTCCTTGTGCGTCCAATCACACTTGGCCAATAAAGAATTCTATTGTATTCTATTGTATTCTATTCTATTGTATTCTATTCTGTTCTATTCTATTCTATTCTATTCTATTCTATTCTATTCTATTCTATTCTTCTCACCCAAACTCTTCTCTTTCTGCCTGACAAATATAATGGGAATCAAACCTGCTACCTTTCTTAGTCAGTAAATTTATACAGTCCTGTAACACCAAGGAATTTCTCATTGGCCAGTCTGGAGTAGAATGTATTGACCCACTGACCTATATTTAGTTGCATTATTCAGCAGCCTCCCCTTGGCTCTAACTTCCTTTTCCCTTGTTTGTCTGCTTACCTACCAGTGAGTTTTGGCCACTTATTTCAATAGTCTCATTCCCCCCCCTTTATTTTGAATGCTTTCAGTGCAATATATCTATGCATGTACAAGTTATTAATTAATAAAAGTTCACAGAACCTGCCTGTGTGAATTAATCTGCCATCAGCCAAAAACATTTTGGAAACAAGCTTCATCCCTAGCATTGGGCAAAAAAGGGAACAAGAGCCACTCCTCCTTTTGCAGAACAGCCTGAACTTAGGCAACTGTCAGTTTTATAACATTTTTAAAGACTACCTTAGAAGTTCTATGAATCAAATAATCACCAATTACAAAATATGTTGCCTCTATAAAGAGTAAGTACTCAGAGAAGGACGCCTGGCTTTTTTTTATTAAGTTTTTTATTTTTTCCAATATAAACATACATATTTTGTGGACAGTGCATTGATTGGGGCAGGTCTTTTTTATACAATGTTAACAATAATAATACAAATAGTATGTGAAATTCCAATCTTCCAACAATACTAGTCTCATTTCATATTCCTTTTACATTTTCCCTTTAGTTCATTTAAGCATAAATAACATTTCTTCGCACTCTGTATTTATTATCCCTTAATAAATGTTGTCATTCAATATTTTAAATATCACTCATTATTCCACCATAACATCAATATTCCAAATGTATAAGATTACTAATAACACCAATTATTAACAATATTTAATCCATCACGGGAATACTGTATGTCTCAAGGCCCCCACCATTTCTAATCCTTAATATTTTAAATTCACAATATCTTTTAACACACTATTAAAATTAATACTTCAGTTAAATTGTCTAGTCTTAAATTACCATCTACTAACCTAAACTTATTGGGGTTGTGGTGTTTTCCCATTTTATTAATATATTTTCTCATTATCCATCATCTCTTAGTCTTTCTAAAATTCCATCATTTATTGATTTTTTCAATCTTTTCAGTCTTTTCTCTCTCTCTCTTGGGATCTTGTATCTCTTTTTAATTTTTTCGTGTCTACTAAACTTTCCCTTCTGGGTGCCTTTTGCCTCTTTCTGCTGTGTTTTTTGAACACCCATCCACAAAACTTCCTTTTGTTTTTGTTTTTTAAAGGGGGTTTTCTCCCTTCTCTCTGTACCATTATAAATTGTGATGTTATGTATTTGTCTTCTACTTATTAGTCTCTTCACCTCTTTGTTTCTAACTTCTTGCTTCTCCTTTTTATTCTCCCCTTCCCCTGCTTTTTCTAATTTCTCATCTATTTCTTGAATATCGTGTTCCTCTTTCCCCCACAATTGTTGAATAGCTTCTACATATCATTTCTGTTTCTTTAAACAATCCCTTTGTCTCTTTGTCATTTCTTAAGGATTCATGCAGACTTTTTAACATGCACAATATTTCTTCATACATCTCTAGATCCATTGTTCATTATTCTATTATTCCAATCTCTCAATATTTAAGAAGCTTCTATGTAATCAAATTACATCAATCCTGTAGTAATACCTCCAAAACCCCACATTTTATTCCATAATAATTTACAGCTTATAGTTTCCCAATTATGTATCTCCCAATTGTCCAAATTTTAAAGTCTTATTTCCTTCTTCTCTCTTTTCTTCTGACCTTTTCTTCTTTTGCCTCTTAGAATATTCTATTAAATAACATTAATAGTCCAAGTCCAAATTAATCCAAATTAATCACTAATTTCTTCCAGTCTTTTCAATCCATAATCCAATAGTCAATTTTAGTAAAATTTAGTTATTTGCAAATTAGTTCCTTTTGTAACTCTTCAAAAGGAAAGGAAAAAAAAAACCACTATTGGATGTTCTTGAATTTTCCCAGTCGTCTTCTAACAACAGTGTCAAGCCATTCACCAGATGTTGTTACTTCTGTTCTGTGTATTAGACTTGTGTGTATTAGATTAGCTCTCATTGAATATACTGCGGCTATAGTGTTGTAGTATTTCTCTTTCTCCAGTAGATGGCTCTCTTATGCTCCAATCCAAGGTAAACAATCTGTCAAAAACAGCTGATAGTCAGATAAATCCAAGGGGTTTTGAACTTAAAATACAAAAATAATTTCTCCCTAAAGTTGCTTCCAAATTATTTGAGCTTTTTTCCACGCTATCTGTAATTTTATAGCTTCTCTTGGGCCTTTTTGGCCTTTTTGTTTCTGGTCCCCCACCCCCAGTTTCAATTCACTGCTATTTTAAATTTAGGAGTTTTCTTTTCATATTCTTTTTGTTATTGCAAGTCATTAAAATAAAAGTTGGTAAATATCTCACCCAATTTCAGTGTTCTGTCCATACACCGCTCCTGCACAATCTTAGTTCCCAATTGTCCCGGCTTCATGGCTGCCAGCAATGGCGGCTGTGCCTGCTGCCATTAGGAGAGAGCTTGCTTCAGACCTAATGAGGAATTTGAGGATTCATCATGATCAGCAAAGCACCTCTTCTTCCTTCACCGTCCCTACAAGATGGCTGTGATCCCAAAGGGTTTCCTGGCAGCGGTTACCAGCTGGGTTTTTGTGGAACTCAGCAGAGCCCACTATTTTCCAGCTATTGCAACCAGATGTCGCCCTGGCTTTAATTTATATGCTGGGGTTTGGGACTAGAATGAACGTCATTAATGTCTAAACTTTTAAAGAGTTTATAGTTTGATTTTCATGAAAGATGAATATTTTACTCCCTTTGATTCCTGTTATGAGAAGTTTACATTTGCCATTCAAATTGGCCTGTAGATCTTCAGTTTTTCAAAGATTTATAAATCATATATTCAGTGATTTTTACAAACTTTTGATTGTGATTTGCTGATTGAAGATCCTGTTCTGCTGACCCATCATGTTCAAGCACTTCTCCAATGTCTTCATAACTATAATAGTAATTAAGGGAGAGAGTATTACTTTGATCTGCCTGTGTAGGACTTTAGGCAATGATACAATACTTCGAAAAGAATCTAGATGGATCCACCTCAACTGTAACATTCTTTCCTTGGAATTCATGGGAGTTCTTTATTGTCAAAAGAGTATAGAGCAGTGATGGCTAACCTTTTCCGGACTGAGTGCCCAAAGTGCACGTGTATGCATGCAACCGCACCCATACCCCCAAATGCAATGCGTGCGCGGGCCCCACACATGTGCCATGCCCCGTGCATATGCATACAGCCCCCTGCGCATATGCATGTGCTCCGCACACACCCTGCCCTATGAATACATGCACGGCCCCCTGCATAGCTCCTCATGCGCATGCATGAACAACCCCCATGTGCATGCCTCCTGTGCATGCACGGCAGAGACCTCAAAGACCAGTTGGCCATTGGGAGGCATGCACACATGCATGGTGGAGCTGAACTGGGGTGATGGCTCATGTGCCCACAGAGATGGTGCTACGTGCCACTTCTGGCACACGTGCCATAGGTTCGCCATCACAGGTCTAGAGTGTTTTCTGAGCTTTTCCAATTTTATTGTACATGTATTCCTAATTCTGTTCCACCTGAGATTTCAATATCAAACAAGCTTTCTCTTTCTAAGTCTTTCTTTGTCATCTATATTCAATCCATCCCTTCATTGTACATTTGTACATTCTCATTTCATATTA